GTATTATTCACAATGTTTCCGTAGGCACCTGTATCTCCTTTGTGCTGTCTAACCTTAATCTTCTAAGTTCCATGCACTCTCTGTGTGCATTCAGATGAGATGCAGGCACAACGAGGGTTTTAAAGTGCCATTTCAGCAAAAATGAGCACAAAGAAAAACAAATCACAAGTAAAGTAAAATCACAGGTAAAACTGAGAAACTGTGTCTTAAACGGGCACTCAACAAAATCTATAAGCACTCTGAATCTATTCTGTGTTCATGAGTGTGTATGTGTGTGTCTGTGTGTGTACATGACGAGTTTTAAGATTTAAAGCTATCATTGTTCTCAAGACACGGAGAGATTATAGTGATTTTTTTTCCTTCCCCAAAATGTCTACAGGGAGGCATACATTTCTCCAATAACTGTGTGTGTTAGAGAATAGTTGACAAGCACATGCTTTTAAAAGCAAAACGATATGATTGCGAATACTAGATATTTTATGTTCTAAGACTGCAACCTTGAGCAATTCGTTTAATCTTCTGTACCCTAGTTTCCTCATATGAAAAATGAGACGGTCTACACCCTGGGACTGGTAAAAGGATTAAATGATTAATGCATATAACCTATGCAGAACACCACATTTTGATGATTATTTGAAGGTTTTAAAACAAGTCATTGCTCTGTAAATGGTTTACTCAATGCTTTTAGAAAATCTCTTAAGCATTTGTTTGAAAAGTTTGTCTGTATGTAATGCATATCCTTATGAATTGTTATGTTCTTTTCTATTATTATAATTTGAAAACTGTAATTGCTCTGCTAGAAGTAACACCTGAAACCCAATAACACAGGCAGCCCAATCATGTTAGTTTGAAAGCTGTGTTCATAATGTATATCCTCGTAGAAAGAGATGTTGCATAAAAATGAAGCATAATAATGGTTGTAATATTCAAAATTAGGTACCGTTTGATTTGTCAGTTTTTATGGGAATTTTTAGGGTTCTATTTTAGGGTGCCAGAAATACATCTCGCCATTTATTTTCTTCTGAGTCCAAGGCCCTGTGTTTAGGGCCTGGGCCTGAGAAAGATTTTTCTTGTGGGTATCCTTCCAGCTGTGGCTGTTGGCAATTCGTCTTAGTCTCCAAAGACTCCCTCTCCAGCCTGTTTAGGAACCAGTGACCTCAAGAACTAGTGTGAACATTCCCCTTTAATAAATGTCACCTGTTAATTCCAGCCGGGGTTTTCCCCTGGCTAATTTATCTCATTTTCCCTAATTCTCTTGTCTCTAGAGGAAACAGGATTATTTCTGGGTGTTCTAAGTATTTACACGGATGGTCATTTTAGAGACGGGTAGAGTTACAGTGGACCTTTTCCTGTATCCCCATTTCTTTCAATATAATAACGAGAATTTGCAGAGAAAGTGTCACTTTTACTTCCTTAGCATAACCTAGATTTTTTTTGAACCAGATGGCCTGGGAGATGGGACATATGAGTACATATTCTGGAAGTTCTGAGAAAGAACAGAAAAAACTGCCTTCATATCTGGCTGCTGGAACTAGCCTGCTAATTAATGGCTAAGTCAAGGTGCATCTGGCTGCACATAAAAATAATCGAAAGAACTTCAACATCAGAGGAAGGCAGCCCACAGCCAGCATGGGATGAGACAGAAAAAAGAACAATATGTAACCACTAAAAATGACCCCAAATCCCCTTCTCTTCCACTGCTTATTTTTACCAAAAAGAATGCTAGTCATGCTCTGGTCCTGTGACTTTCTGGCTAAAGGTTATTGACATCCCATTATCCTGAGAGCAACCAATCCAGGAACAAGTTCTTGCTCCTCTTAGCACTTCTAAAACAACCCAGTCTAAGCCCAAACCCTTGACCAGCCCATCTGAACCCCTCTCCAAGGTAGCTCATCGTTCTCCGTGTATGCCCTCCCTCTGCTGAAACAAGTTCCTAAACCCAAACTTGACTTCAGATGCGGTTCCAGGTGGTATTTGATGACTGCACCTAATCAGTTCTGGTACATGCAGCTATAAAATGATGCAATGTTTTTATTGTATTTTTTTGCTTTCTTACTTATTATCACTGTCTCAATCACCCTTGAAAAGAGGACAGTCATTAATTTCTCAAACAGATTGTTCTACCTCCTTAATGCTTTCCTTGTATCCAGAGCCCTCTTACTCTGATACAAACTACCCTCATGGTTACTTCTAAAGTGGACAGTTCTCCATCCTTTGCAACCTAAAAGAGTTGGGGTTAGTTGAGAATCGGCAACATGTGCACCACTTTGAGAGCTCATTGTAAATGCAGACACAGGTTCACCACAACACAATTGAATAAGGATCTGCACTTGCAGCAGACGTCCTACATGTTCCTAAGAACGTGAATTTTTGAGAATTACTGCTAAATGTCCCAACTGCACTCATACACCACTTTGGTGCAATCATTTGGCATCTCCCTGACTTTGGGACAAAGCCCAAACTCCCTGCTTTGCCTTTGGAGGTTTTTTATCAGCCAGTTTCTTTCTGCCTCATATTTCACACCTTTCTAAAAAATACCTTGAATTTTTCACCCAGGATGCAGGAGCATGGTTCCCCAACTTCCTGTCTTCTCACTTCAAAGGTGTGGAATTCTATCCTCCCCACAACACACCACCCACTGTCATTTTTTCTACGGAGTTGGAAAGGCCTGGCTTAGGTTTCTTCAGACAGAATATGTTCCCAATCTTCACAGACTAGGTTAAGGGCAGTGTCCAGACATTTACTAGCACCACTTATTAGCATGGGTGCCATCTCCATCTCCAGCACCCCCTGCCTCTCCTTGCTTCTGTGTTTCTCTGCCTTCCCCTTGAGGTTTATGATGTGAGAAGTTTTTTCTTCAATTTTAACACCAGCCCAGCACAGGGCCTGGGACAGTGGAGATATCCAGTAAAGGATTGTTGAATGAATGAATGAATGCATATATTTTTTAGCATCCTTGAGTTATTCATAATGAACAAGAATGCATGAAATAGTCAAAACAAGAGTGATTCTCCCTTCAGCTGAAATTTGCTAAAAATTAGACTTTGAATGCCTGAAGATGACATTCAATTAAATATGTATAAGTATATATGTATGTGTGTATATACATGTATGTTTATATGTGTTTAATGCAAATGCTGAGATTTAAGTGCATGCATATCTATGAATATATCTATGTAAATTATGTGTATGTATAGATGCATGTGTGTCTATGTGTGTGTATATTCAGTAATGGCCCTTTTCCAAGGGGGATGCGTTCAAAACTCAGTGGATACCTGAAACCACAGATAGTTCCAAACCCTTTATATACTATGTATTTTATTATATATATACACTTTTGATAAAGTTTATAAATTAGAGGCAGTAAGAGATGAAAAATAACTAATAAAATAGAACATTTATAACAATATACTGTCATAAAAGTTATGTGAGTGTGGTCTCTTTCAAAATATCTCATTGAACTGTACTCGCATATTTTTAGACCACAGTTGTCCACAGTACCTGAAATTGCAGAATGTGATTCCACAGATAAAGAGAACTAATGTATTTTATATATATGTATACACACACATGCATAGGAATGTATATATGAACACATTAAATGTGTTGTAGATGTGTGTGGATATATGAGTGTGTGTGCACATACATATGTGTGTGTATATATATGTTTAATGGAATTGGCATCTTCAGGAATTTAAGTATGTGATGTCTATGTATATATTTATATATGTAATATATATGCATATATGTATGTGTGCATATACAGTGCATATAATGTATACATGTACAGTCATGCATCACTTAACAATAGGGATAAATTCTGAGAAATATATCGTTAGGTGATTTCATCGTTGTGCAAACATCATGTAGCGTACTTACACAAACCTCGAGGTGCAGTCTACAGTACTCCTAGGCTCTATGGTATAGCCTAGTCCTTCCAGACTACAAACCCGTGCAGCACATGACTGGAGAGAAGACCCTAGGCAACTGTAACACAATGATAAGTATTTGTGTATCTAAACATAGAAAAGGTACAATAAAAATACGGTATTATAATCTCATGAGACTGTCATCATATATGCTATTTGCATTTGTCAAAAATATGCTGTGCATGATTCTATACATAATGCATATATAGGATATGTACATGTATATACATATCTAATGTATATACATGTACATATATGTGTGTGTGTATGTATTTCTCCTGTGTGCCTTCACAACATGATTGAGGCAAACAGCATCTGAAGAATTTAGGAGTTCACATATGTCAGAGAGTCCCGGTCCTTGCTATCTTTCTTTCTCTGATACTTAGCTAGGATTATCACAACATGCAAGGCCTTGACTTACAAGTGTTTGCCGTGTTAACTTCTTGGTGAAAAGATTTGGGCTATGAGGATCTACTATCATGTTATCCATCAAGTTCTCCTGTCTAATAGGGGCTAGTTTCCTCTGAACATCTTCCATTATGAAAGGGGAGCAATGCATGTGCGTGTCCCTTAAGGCTACTGTGAAAGTCAAATAAGGTCGCGATGGTTGGATGCACAGGAAGGAATTGACAAACGGGCTCCCATTGGTATGATAGTGATTTTCTGCCTCTCGAGTTTCATTCAGCAGAATTTCTTGCTGTCACGTGAAAGTTTACTCACCTAAGGCTATTTTAAAGTGTTTTGTCCACCACAATTCCAAACACAGTGACACAAGAATGAGCAGGGGTAGATATAACCAATCCAAACACTCTGTTTCAGGCAGTGTCATCTGAGGCGCTTCACCAAACAGGGCTTGGTTTTCCAAAATCAGGCCAGCAGAGCCTCCTCAACTGTGCAGCTGGCCAAAGCTAAAGAAATCATCCCATTACCAAATGTATTTATCCATTTGTAGCCTATGTCCGCTGCATCACTTAGCTTTTACAAAGAAAAAGGCATTCAAAGAACAACAAAAGTAAATAAAACACGCCACCTACCAAGAAAGAACGGACGCATAATTATTTGCACAAAGCATTAGAAAATACTGTGATATTTTATTATTAAAAATGCTGCTGAAAAGTTTATACATATGTGTCCGGCCATATATATCTTCTATCATTACTTAAGGCAAAATAAAAAACAAAATTGCAAAATAATAACCCAAGGAACCATTAAACCCTGCGTGCCTTTGAAGATCAAGAATAAAAGCCTAGGAAACGATTTTTTTTTTCTTATTTTTCTCATTTTTTTTCTTTTTTCTCTTTTTCATAGATAGCAAGTATATTTTTTTCTCATAGAACTCTATGAAGATTCTACAACTTCTTTCCATGTAGAAATAAGATATCATTTAAGATGTACTAAATCACTTTTGATCATAATCCCCTGTAAAAGCTAAAGTTATTCACTTAACAGGAACTCTGTTTTTCCTTATTCAAATGTCACAAGCCTGACGCGTTACTGTACATATTGCTAGCAGGAGACAATTGGAAATACTAAACAAATACTGGAATTCACATTACAGACAGACGAAACCAGCATGGGTGCCACACATCACTTCCTTTGTAGTTTCACGGAGAGCCTATTTGTGGTTGCTCAGGTGGGGTCATACACTGCTTGCAGAAATGGCCTGATCATAGCTCTATGAAACAATGAATTGGGAATGAAATCTTACCATGACACCTCTCTGTAGGACAGAAATGTTGCTTCACGTGTGCTAAGTTGAGATAATAATATTTCACATATTTATATACAGAGAATCACTCTCAAATTTAACCCAAGATAAGCAATAGGATTTGGGGATGACTTTTATGCATTTCTAAAAACACTTTGCTTTTCTCTAGAGGTCACTCTCAAACACTGATACATCACTATAGTTTGAGTGTAGGGATTCAGTAATCAAAGGCTGTTACTGCAAAAGAGCCAGGCAGCTGGACAATTTTTATGAGGAATGTCCACTTTAGCAGAGAGATTTAAGACTGGATTTCTAGAATAACCCACAATGGAGCCGAGGGACATGATCTTCAAATATCTTTGGCTACTGTTTCTTGGTAACGCAATAATTTTTGAAAGACAAAATATAAAGTAACCGTTGCTACTATGTTTCCTTCCACCTTATAACACTCAAAACTTTCCTGAAAATGAGAAGAGAAATGAGAAAACGACAAGCTATTGGAAAGAAAAATCTCTGATCCCTAGGTCACCAATTTAAAATGGGTGAATAATTTCCATTCAATGTCTTCTCAGTGAAGTTATCCTAATTTCCCAGAAAACCCATGCAAAGCAGTTTTAATGTTCTATCCTTTTCTTCCCCCATTCTTCTATAATATTCATCATTTGGTGACCAGATATACAAATTCACAAAAAGTGATATTTTCAGACAATCATTTGTTTGATCCCAAAAATGATACAAAAAATTTTTTAAAACCTGCTTACTGATAAATAAGGGACCGAGTGCTTAAACAAAAAGGAAAGACACATGTCTTCCTTCAATCTGATTAGCTAAGCTGAGCAGGTACTTCATCGGCCAAACCCTCCCGCAGCTGCTAGGGAACACAGAGCCGTATTTACTCCACGGGGCATAGCCCCACCAAAGGCAAGCTTTCTTCTTTTTTTGGCAGGGCCCTGAAATGGGAAGCAACTCTTCCTAAACATATTCAAAGGGCCAGAGCTACAGAATGGGACTTGTATTTTTGTTTCTCCCTGCTGATTCTCTGTGTGTGCATGTCTCTAATTTAACAAGCTGTAAATACATTCCACTTTGGGGACTCATCTCTGTACTGCAATTTCATGAAGGCTAACACATACGAGTCAAAGTTTTTCAAAACAATGGTCTCCTAAGAATGCTCTTGCATGCACCTGTGCAACCTGACGGGGGAAATAGGCCACACAGACCGTCTGGGTCTTCTGTGGGACATCACATCCTCCTACAAATGAGAATCTCATGTAAGAAAATCCCATGTCTTTGTTCACCACAAGTAATTAAGAAGAAAAGCCTCTTTTGTTGGGGAGGAAACAGAGCTGATATGACTAATGTGTATATATATATATATTTATATACATACAGAGCACAATGAAAAGCACAACCTTGCTAAAAGCTCTTTCAAACTGAAAACACCAATAAAAGCTTTTTTTCTTGTTTGTCTGTTTGTGGTTTTGTTTAAACTCACAGCTATATACATTTTTAATTTTTACAAAGTTTCTTAAATATAGTTCAGGCTGGCAAAACACCTCTTTGCACAGAACCATACAGATTTCACTGCATAGTCCATTCTTTTATTTTAATAATAAATTTCTACGTTTCCTTCTCTCTGGATTACAGCTCCATGTGCTGGGCAAAAGCCCATTGACGCTTTCTTCACTTAAGGAGAGCCATCCATTGTGTGGCACAGAAAGAAATGTTTAAATTTCCATTGTAATTAAAAAATATTCAGTGTCCTTGGGTGAGTTTCAGAAGTGTCAGCTGCTTCCATGATGTTAGAAACACCCAGGTCCTTGAAATGGTGATGTCCTATCACACTAAACATCGGTTGGAGTGGTAGAGATCTTAAAGCAGTATTTTAACAGAAATGTGTACCTTTCACATTTCATAGGGTCAGAAGTCGATCTCGTAATACTGGAAAACACCAACGAGAAGGGTCTGCTGGGATGGGATGACTGCCTTTTTGCATTTTTGTCTTAAGTCAGTGGGACAAAAACATTCCTGGTTTGGAGACTTTCTTTCTCTCTTTCTTTATCTCTTCTATGTTGCTGAGCAGGTGGTGCAGAGGGATAGGAGGGGAAATACGGCCAAGCTATACTCTAGTGGTGGAATGTCCGTGGGGTAAATTTGTACTGTTTTGTCCTCCACTGAAGGTGTTAAAAGTGTGCAAAGGCTGCATCCCCGTCAGTGTGTTTGGAATCATGGTGATGGTGTTTGGCGTCATAAGTGGGATATCATCTGGCGACCGGCGCAGCGTGAGGGTGTAGTCTGGCGGGCAGGTGAGCCTCAGCGTGTCGTGTGCCTGCAGCGACTCACACTCGTGATCGTGTTCCAGCTGCTTCATCTGCAGAGACATGATCTCTTCGTTCTGGATGTGAGCGATATCATTTGTGGTGTTTCTCTGGGGACTCGGGCGCCTGTGAGTCTCATGGCGCCTCTTGTCCTTTTTGTAGTACAGAGCCGCAAAGGCTAAAATGTTGAGGAAGAGGAGCGATGCCCCGACGGCAATGGTGACACTTAATTCAGTGGAATAATCCCGTTTGGTTTCAATGAGGACAGTTGTGTCCTCGGGCCCCGTTTTGTGAGGGTCCTTAGAGTGTTTGGGATTGTTGGCAGGAGTGATTGCTGGGCGTTTGGTCGTTGGCCATATCTTGGCAGGAGATCGGCGGGTACCATAGGGAAATGATGTCATGTCTGGAGGAGGAACCTTTGTGGTTGTTGAAACATACTGGAATATCTCGTTCAAGTTGTGCAAATGAGGAACGAGTTCCAACCAGAAAGCCACTTTCGTTGCCCGGTAGTGATCTCTCACTCTGGGTTTCAAGCCTATATGCAGGTAGAGCTGGTCTTTGGGATTATACTTGGACCAGGCCACTTCTTCAAAGCGGTTGGGTTTTGTGTGAATGAACTTGGTATCCTGAGGAACTGGTTGATTTGGATCACTGGGGTAGAAGGAAGAAAAAAAAGAAAGGTCATACTCTTCCACATGTGATATGAAATTATCTTAAACCAATAAATCAGGAAGTTACAATCTGCTCTTCATATATATTTTTCAATGAGCACAAAATACCCAAGCAGCAAAGGTACATTCTGCTTTAATCCTAGACATGTCTACCATGTTGTCTTTTCCCTTAAAAATTGCTTATTTTTCTTTTAAATATAAACCCTGATAGCAATATTATGGCATTTTTATAACATGTCTACTATTTTTAAGGCATCAAATGATCTTCAAAAATAAAGGGAAAAAAGGAAAACTAAGTGTCTCTAGGAACAATTTCAGTATTTCAAGTTTCACTCTCTTGAACTGGAAAACTCATCCAGGAGGGATTTGCTCCAAAGGGATATTTGGCAAGGTCTGGAGACATTTTTGGTTTTCATAGATGAAGGGTTGTTCTATGAAGGGTGGAGGTCAAGGATGCCACTAAACACCCTCTGGTGCACAGGAGAGACCCCCACAGCAAGGAAGTTATCTGGATCCAAATGTTAACAGTACTGAGGTTGAGAAATTCTGATTAAGAAGCTATTGTTCAAGAAATGGGCATTCTCTGTCTTGCTCAAGAATATCTTTGGAAGTAAATGAATAAATGTTGCAGTTTTAGCAATGAAAATTGATATTAACAGTCAAAAATTGGTTTTATAATTAGAAAATGTTTGTAAACAGGCATATACACCATGTGTTTGCTCTCTATTTGAAAGTAAAATACCTAGTCTTCAAAATACCTTTTGAAGACTAAGTCCGGAAAACATGAAAGCACGCTATGTTAGCTGTAAGAAGTTTGCTAAAATGGTACATATAGTTATGATGAGGTTAACATGTTTAAGATAAATAAGACACCCGGAAACAAGCTGAGGGCTGTTACAGATGCTAAGCTGTGCTTGGAAACTATGAGCCAAAGAATTATCTTATTATTATTTGCACAAGTGGGCACAGGTAGAAGGAAAATCATAAAAATTTGGAGATAATTCATAAAACATAGGGCCTTTAATAAACATCTTTGCAACCAACTCTCTTAGGATAACACTTCCTCTTCAAAAAACAAATTACCAAATGCTAATTTCTTCCAGTTTTTGACGGTTTGTAAAGTAAGCTACAAAACAGTTACATCTTAAGGTTTATTTGTTATAAGAAAGGTTTGAGATTACGCATGGTAAAAAGTTATATACTAGTTAGTACTGAACATTCAGATGTGATGTGCAGACCCAGGCAAGCAGGGAGTTGCAACATTCTGATCAATGGCTCCAGGTGTGAGCTAAGATCTATCTTCCAGGTAACTTCTCCTTGGTGGCACTTTTGTGACACTGCCTCCAACCATTGCATGGCCTGCATGGCAGAAGGCTGCAGGACCAAGGAAGATCATGTATCTGTAGCCATTACCAGACATTGTGCAGGATCCAAACAATATACTTGACTCAGAGGTGACACATTTGCTAAAGGAAGATTTTATCCCCTCAGTCTGAGTCTGTGGTGATGATAAATCATTTCCCTGTATTCGAATTTCTGCAGCTCTGGCTAGTTAACAGCTGTGAAAACTTGAGCAAGTTTTCCAGCCAGTATTGGCCTTAACTTCTCTACATGGTAGATGAGAGTATCAGGGTTGGAGGTAAGTGATGAAGGTTGAAAGATAATGACAAAATGTCTGGCATATGGTAAGAATTCAGGAAATATTATCCCCTCTCTTTCAAAATAAAAATTAGAACATCTACAATATTGCAAGGGAGGGAGAACTAGGGAGTGATATACTGTGTATCAGAGTACATACTGTATTTCTATATTGCATACATTGTAGAGTGTATAAAAGTATATTGTATATTACATACTATATACAAGGATACTGTATAGCACAGTTTATACTGTATACTAACTGTATACTATATGCAGTATATATATGTGTGTATATTATGTGGGTATATATGTGTATGTGTATATCTATCTATAGATATAGATATAAGATGTGTAATGTAATACAGAAGAAAAAGAAAGTTGACCTCTACCTTTTAGTTGAATGCACACTAACTGCTGTGTTTTCACTTTACTAAGAGGGTGAAAACAAATATATATAATCTGATAGGTTCTAATACCATGAGTTTTCTTATTTACTGATAAACAATATATTTGAAAAGTCTTCTGCTTTTTTATTTATTATACATGTATTCTTATATGGTTTTGAAAAAATGTTGGATTCAATGCAACATCTCATGTTTCTTGTGCTTCTTTAAGCTTTCTGAAAGGATTTTAAAATTTTCACTTATTTAATGTGTGTTGAAAGAAAAATAAGTGAATAAATATTTTAGGAAAAAAATCCACTAATATTAGTTATTGATTTTTAATATTCTAAAGAAACAAATGGAAGTGAAGATTCCTCCTTTTTTTCCACGGATCCAATTTTACTGAATTGGGTCTATTAGATGTGTGGCTGTATCATCTATTATGCAGTGAGCATCTAGGAGATGGAGTATTCTGTTCATTTTGGGTACTAGGCTATTTTTGAAGGAACTCAGGGTATATCTGAAAGGTAAAGAAAACACATTTAATTTGTTCTTGAAGAATAAAGCAGAGGATTTGGAAAATCCACAAAAGTGAGCTGCCGCCTGATACGGTCTGTCTGTTAAAGATCTCAGAGATGCACAGCCAGAATTCTTAAACCCAGATACACTTGTGGAGATTATGATAGCCCAAGTCATTCTCCCTTACCAAACCCTCCAGACAGTGAGACCTAGATGTGGGGTATCAGTGTTTTGTTTTTTAGATTTTATTCAGCATAAGGACTGTTTAAACTCCTGTGAGTAAAACTGAAGATTGTAATGACTGAGGATAGAAACACAAGTTGGTCTCTCCAGTAAAAGACTCAATGCATGTCTCTCTCCTTATCCCCCAGCACCTAACACGGCCATTTCCCCCTGCCCTGTTTTATTTGAGATGTAATCTTGGCAGCAGAGACTCAAGTGCATTTCTAAGGTCTAGTTCATTTCTTTAGCTAGAGATGGAATATAGTACTATGATCTCTCTAAAAATGTCTGTGAATCCTCTCAGCTGGTCCTTTAAGTAGCACAGGTTTTCCTTATACCCAAAACATTGTTCGCAGTTAACGATCTGTTACCAAACTAGTTTATTATGCATTCAGTGACTCCTCTGCCACACCAGGTGGGGATGTTCATTCATTCAGCTTAAAATCCCTTTTTGGTAATAAAGGTTGCCTTTACGGCCAGAATTATGCTGCAACTCTGTAACCCATCCCCACTAAATACCTCATTGTAACTTCTTTCTTTCCCAAAGATTTAACAATAGTTGAATATAAATTAATCATAGGATACCAGCACATTCAAAAGCAGTGATGGCATCTGATGCAAATCAATCTGCTGTACAAACCCCAGATTTGATGGAACAACATAAAAAAATCAAAATACGTGTTGACCTGATTTTCCATTACAAAACTCTCTTCTCATTTCTGACTTCCAATAGCACAATATAAGGTCTTCTACTATATTATTATAATGTATTGTTTGATTACTTTAAAGCACTGTTCTTTGTCATACCTTATAAATAAATCAAGATTCCCCTACTCCTTTTTGTCCATCTCTTTCCACACAGACCTCAAAATGAAAGAATCCTGGATCAATGAGCACCTAAATTTTGTTGATCAGCTTGGCCAAACCCCTTTTCTCCTATTCCCAAAGTAATTTTACAGGAAAAGGACTTTAATGCTCTAGAACCCTTTTCAAACTTCAGAGTTAGTTTTCACTTTTCCTTGACGCTGCTCAGAGTCAAGGAAAGATGTACTTTTCCAAAAATGGTCTCAATCTACCTTATTTCTACAATGCCTCTGCATGTTTGAGCTTACACGGTTCTCTTGCAGCATGATTTTAGTCCTCTGACCTGGACTAACATTGAAACTCCTCCTTGCTACAGGGGAGAATCCCGCTCAGGCACAGGCCTGGGCAACTGCTTCCCTATTCAAAACAATAATAAAAAAGAAATAGCAAGGATTACTTGAGGCCCTGGCATTCACTGATTTCAATATCCTGTCTTGATCAAGGTTTTCATAATTTAGAGCCCCGGCAGGGACTTCCTCCTCATTTCTACTCTGTGTACTCGCTGCCTCCGCCTTTCCAAGATGGGAGAGCCCTCTCACCTAATGCTACCGTGAAAATATGCAGCTGACATGATCTATAAGCAAGGATCCAATTGTCCCTCCCTTCCTCCTTCTTTCCTTCCTCCCCTCCTCCCTTCCCTCATTTCTCTTTCTTACCCTCCTTTTCCCTGTTTTCCTTCTTTCCCTCCCTCCCTCCCTTCTTCCTCTCCTCCCCCATCCCCTTTTTTCTTTTTCCTCCCTCTTCCTTCCTTCCTCGCTTCCTTCCTTCTTTTTCTCTCCCTCCATTTTTTCCTTCCCTCCCTCGCTACTCTTTCTTTCCTTCATCTCTTCTTTCTTCCTCCTCCCTTCCTCTCTTGCCTCTTTTCTTTCTTTCTTTTCCTTCCTTCCCTCTTTTCTTCCTTCCTCCCTTCCTTCCTTTCACCTTCCCTCCCTCCTTCCTTCCCTTCTTCTTTCCTTCCTCTCCTCCTCCCTTCCCTCTTTCTTTCCCTCCTTCCTCCCTTCCTTCACTCCTTTCTTGATTCCCTCCCTCCCTACTTTCTTCTCTTCTTCCCTCCCTCCCTCCTTCCCTCCCTTCCTTCCTTTGTCCCAACTCTCTTTCCTTCATTTCCTCCCTCCTCCCTTCCTTTCTTTTCTCTGCCATTAACATCCCAACATAATTTTTCTGTGCCCATCCCAAATCCAAAGGTTTATGTATACCAGGTATACGTGCCTTCAAACCTAGACTAAAGGTCAGAACCATCTGCTTTGAGATGTCTGCATAGAAGCATCCAGACACCATCCTCCTCATCTCGGCGAACATGTGCGCCATTGAGAGACTGTGCTGTGTCTGCAGGTTTAGAACGCCTGACATAACGCCCACTGAGAGTGCTGAAGCATGTCCTGGCACAATGCGATCCTCTCTCCACGGCACCGTGTAGTGACAGACACGCTGGGAGCTATTCTTGTTTCCTCCTGTCACCTCCAGTGCTGGAAGGGAACAGTGATGGTATGCAGAAATATGCCCTCCTGTTCTGTGAGTCATCGTCTGAGTGTGTGCTCTGCAGAACGGCGTTAAACTTGGCAGCTCACAGGATGACAACAGATAAGGTGCATCCCATACTTTCTCCTTACGGGCATCAGGTTGGTTCGTTCTCTGCACCTGGTGACCAGGGACTCCTTCTCTGCCCTGGAGTGATCGGGCCACCACCCAATTTACAATAAACAAATAACTAGCAACTGCAACTGAGGTCCTTGTCATCCACTGACGAATACCTAGCTCACCAGACTGTGCCTGACGGTGATATTCCCCATTTCCTTCTTTTATGGAGCTGCCATGGAGGTGTGATCACTTAATCTATTTGTATTTGAATCCACACGTTGCATTTCACATGGGATGTAAGTTCTGAGTAACTTCCTTGAGGAATCATTTGAGTCATTCTAATACCTTTCCAATGAATTAAAAGAGCTCACTGCATTAATACACTCAGTGTTATTTCAGGGATGTTTCCCATGGGCGGAAGAAACAAAAATAGAGGCTTCAGACGGACTGACATTCGAGCTCTGGGTACCTCAATGAACTCTCTCTACCAGCAGCTTTTGATTTCAGTAGCATCAGAGTGTTTCTCCAAGTTCCAGCAGTAATTCCTTCCTCATCTCTTCCAGTCATGTCAGGGCCTTCATGAAAGCTAGACGAACCCTCAACACAGACCATGAATGGCAACATGAATGTATTCCCTAAATGCAGGGGGGAAACCACAGGCTCTAAGCCAAGTGGTTTTAAGAAACAGATTCATGGCATGAAAAAGCACTCAATAACAGAGAGAGCACTGTGGTATTCTCACGGCTCTCTCAGACCTTCATGATGTCTTGGTAAAAGCATCCATTTGGTGCCAGCAGTGATAACGATCACCTCATGGAACTAATTAACTTCCTTTATCTTTTTCTGTCTTTTTTCCTTTTTTTAATAATGAGAGAGCCAGTCTCAGTCTCACAGCCCTTGGGAGTCAGGAAGAGCTAATGAGAATTTAACAGCATTATTTAGATTTCACTATTGCTTTAATGGTTCTATAAAATGTATGAGGAATGATTCTAGCTTTCCACTTAAGATAATCATATAAAGTTTATTTTCAAATCATGTAAGGAGGAAAAGAAAAAGCATATGGTTTTAATGAAAGTAAGTAAAGAGAGTGTTTACAGACCAAGTCAGTAATACCTTTAGATGCCAATGTAGTGAAGATTGAATGAGTATAGCCATGTTGATGGAAGTCTTTAGGCTTCAAGAAGATGAAATTCTCTGCAAGGGCAGACACCACTTATCTTAGTGCTGTCACAAAAGAGGGCCTGGCCCTGGCTTCACAAGGTATTAGAGATTGAATACTGTCTCCCCGTAAAGTAAGATACGTTGAAGTCCTAACCGCAGTACCTCAGTATGTGAGCTTATTTGGAAATAGGGTAACTGCAGATATGACTATTTATGTTAAGATGAGGTCATACTGGAGTAGGGTGAGCTTCTAATGCGCCTTGGCAGATGCTCTTATAGGAAGACAGCCATGTGGAGACAGAGACACACAGGGAGGCCGTAAGATGACAAACACACAGAGTGGGGTGGTGCAGCTGCAAGGCACGAATGCCAAAGTCTGCACCCAAACACGAGTAACTAAGAAGCAGCAAAGAAATACCTTCCTATAGCTTTTGGAGGGAACTTGGCCCTGCAAGCACCTTCATTTGCAACTTCTGGCCTTAGGAAGTGTAAACCGATAAATTTCTGTTGTTATAAGACACACACTTTTTGGGCTTTTTTGTTTGTTTTTTTTTTTAAGACAAAGGTTTCGTTCTGTCGCCCAGGTTGGAGTGCAGTGGTGCAAACATGGCCCACTGCAGCCTCGACCTCCTGTGCTCAAGTGATCCCTCTGCCTCAGCCTCCTGAGAAGCGGAGACTCTCGGCCTATGCTACCATGCCCAGCTAAATTTTTTCATTTGTTTTGTAGAGATGGACTCTCACTATGTTGCCCAGGCTGGTCTTAAACTCGTGGCTTCCTCAGGCGATTCTCCTGCCTTGGCCTCCTAAAGTACTGGGGTCACAGGCATGAGCCACTGCACCCAGCACAGACATACAGTTTTTGATACTCTGATAACAGCAGCCCTAACAGACTAATAAACAAGGTTTACTTAAAAAAAAAAAAGTATAATTTGATTTCAACAATTTATTCACACAAGAAAGAACCTTTCAGTGATAGACAAGCATTTCCATCAAATGTGGGTCCCTCCTCCCTTCTCCTCCAGGTAGCCTTTCTCAGACCAAATCTACAAAGCCTGATTATTGAAAGTTGGTGTCCAGGTGATACCTTTTCCACTACAAAAACATGCTGTACTTTTGCCAAGAGCACAAAACATTCTTAAACCATTCCCCACTCAAACCACTTTGGAATCTTTGTACAGTATGCCAGCTGCTAAACACGTAGGCATTGAAACCACCAGCATCCCCAGATCTTCTAAGGATTACTGTGCATAACTCATGTGTGGCAGGGCCACTGCAGTCTCAGAGCCTCATTCCGCATGGGAAGATTTACCCTCCCTGGGCGACAGGCACATCTCTCTCTCTCTCTCATTCAGTGTAAAGAGGCTCAGGGTGACGATGGAGGCACACACTGGTAGAACAGAATGACACCCCATCCATTTCCACAGTTACATTATTAGACAAGAGAAAATGAAAAGATGCCACAATGTCTGGAGCTATTTAGGAGGTTTTGGGTTCTTTTCTCCCATGGTTTGCAGAGAATCCGCTCAGCAGAATATTGGCAGACTCGGTTGTATATGTGCTTTTTGTATATTTTATATTTTCTACTATATTTAGGCCAATAAATGAGCTTTCCTGTGAGATACACATATATGTGTGTTTGTGTGTGTGTGTTTATATATGCAAGCCATATAGCAATATGATACAAATATCATATATTTTATTTGCTCTATCTCTATAGCTATTTATATAGCAAAGAAAATACAAATATATATTTGTGTATGTATATACATATTTGTATTTGTATATATAGTATATATATTTGTATTTGTATATATAGTATATATACTATATATATTGTATTTGTATATATAGTATATTTATTTGTATTTGTATATACAAATATATTTGTGTGTCATATATACAAATACAAATATATACGTACTATATATTATACATATGGGAATATCTATATTTTTATAGAGATATTAAATATATATAGGAATATATATTTATATTTCTGTATAATTATTATGATATGTGTTTTCATTCCTATGGCCAGGCAATCAACACAATTCCCCAAGTGGTGCATGTGCTGTGATACCCTCACAAATTAACAAAAGAGATATGGTTGAAATTAGACTTAAAACTCTGTAATCAGGGCTGGCGTGGTGGCTCACACCTGTAATCTCAGCACTTTGGGAGGCTGAGGTGGGAAGATCGCTTGAGCCCAAGAGTTTGAGACCAGCTCGCGTGACACAGCAAAACCCTGTCTCTAACAAAACAAAATTAGCTGAGTAAGCTGGTGTGCATCTGCAGTCCCAGCTATTCAGAAGGTTGATGTAGGAGGATCCCTTGAGCCCAGGAGTTTGAGAGAAGCCTGGGCAACATAGCAAACCTGTCTACAAAATTCCATGTAAGGGCATGGAGGTGCACGCCTGTAGTCCCAGCTACTCAAGAGGCTGAGATGATGAGAGGATCACATGAACCCATGAGTTTGGGGCTTCAGTGAGCTATGATTGTGCCAGTACACTTCAGCCTAGGCAACAGAGTGAGACCCTGTTTCTATCAAAAAAAACAAAAACAAAAACAAAAAAACAACAACTAAAAATTAGCCAGGCATGGTGGCGGGCACCTGTAGTCCCAGCTACTCAGGAGGCTGAGGCAGGAGGATGGCTTGAGCCTAGGAGTTCAAGGCTGTAGTGAGCTATCGTTGCACCACTGCACTCCAGCGTGGGCAACAGAGTGAGACTGTGTCTCTAAAACAACAAGAACAAAACCAAAACCAAAACCAAAACCGTTTAATCAGCTATTAACAGAACCGTCCTATATGTATGAGTCCTGCACCTGCAGGTAGGAACTCCGGAATTCCCAATGGGCAATTAGAACTCTAGTAAAAATCTGGTTTGACAGTTGTTTTACTCCTATAACACTTTAGGAGTAAAGAAAAAAATGAGTTCCATAGATGTTGCGGGAGAAGCTGCCTGTTACTGCGTGTGTAATCGTATATCTGTGTGTATATGTGTGCACACATGTGTGTGTGTGTGTACGCACGTGTGCTCCTGCAAGTGGCAGTAGAAGCAATACCTATATTGAGGACCCAAACAAGTGACGAGGATAGCGATACCCCAGCACGAGGAAGAACGTACCCAGTTTTGGCGAAGTTCGTCCAGTAGGTCATGACCACGGCGCTGAGCATGACGTCGTTCTTGGAGAAATTACAACTGAAGAGCTCGGTGGGACCGACCATGGGGATGCCGAAGACGTAGGGGACCTCATCGCCATGGGCCGAATCCGCCCAGCTGGGCTTCATTTCGCTTTGGCAGTGATGATAGAAGGCATAGAAGTAGGTGGGGGAGCCGTACTGCGCGTGCAGGTCGGCGGTGGCCACGGCGGGGGCCACCCACTGGTGGTCAGTGAAGAGAGCCACCAGCGTTTTCCGCCGCGTCTCCGGGTTTTCCTTATCGGCCCAGTCTGTGTACATGAACTTGATAGTCTCGCGCAAAGTGTCCTTCCCTTCAGGATAGCCGTAAAGGTTGTCCACGAAGTTGGACACGGAGAAGTCAAAGTCATTGGGCGTCACACCGTCCTCGTTATCCACAATGCCGTCCACGAACTTCAAGCCTTCCCCTTGGTTGACGCCCAGCATGATGTCATAGTTGAGGAACTCGCCTTGCTCCATCAGGATCTGAGGGTCGTCTGGGATGACGTCGCCGTCAATCACGGGCCCGAAGGCTATGTGGTAGGTGGCTGGGGTGATGGTCTGCTGGATGAGCTCCTTGTAGTTCTTGTTCCGCAGGCATTCTACCATGTCCGTGGTGTCCAGCATGTTGCAGCCGACCTTGTCTGCCAATATCCGAGTGTACTTGGCCGGCTGGTAGTTCACTGCCCAGCTGGACAGGGCGGTGCCGCTCTGAATGATGGCCTTCTGGAAGAGACCTGCAGGTGCAAAATTGTGGACATGCAAATGAAAACCCGCAGGACAGAAACGCAGCTTTTACTGAGCAATGAAGGCTGTGATTGTCTCTCAGGCATGTGAATTTCTGGACGTAGTAGCATTCAACTCTGTCAGGGGACCTTTTACCCATTTTCATTTCGATTTCCCCTTCCCCCTCCTCCTGAACATTCATTTTAGGCAATGTTATTCTACACACACAGACACACACACACACACACACACACACACACACGAGTTTAAGGAAATGAAACCACATTTACACTTTTCCTGCACTGGTAAAATACATGTGATTTCTTTTTCCTTCCACAATCCAGTGTCGTTTTTGCTTCCTTGCCTCCAGATGCCATATATAAAAACTCCAACAGCAACTGCATTCCCCATTTCCAAGAAAAAAAAAAATGCTTTAAGCTAGTAAAAGGTCAAAGGCCCTCTTGTCTCACAAGCGAAACTAGGTCTCTCTTCATTATGGGAAAAAAAAATAAATCCACTTGAATCAACTTCAGAGTATTAATTCAGGAATGCATTTCTACTTATACCTTGAGTCTAATGAAGATATTAAGATCTGGCAATTAAAATAAATACATTGAGTTAGCTATGCTTAAAGAAATCCTCAACTGGGTGCCTAAATGAGTATTTTTTGAAGTCACTTCTTTCAAAACTACATCCATTGGAAACTCAGAGATGTGTATATTTTATTTTGCCACATATAAAAAATGCTTTGCTTGGTGAGAAACTTGAAAAAGCATGGGTAATTTTAGGAGTAAAATTCTGTGTAGCTTAAAATTCTCCATGAGTTCAGTCTACTACATGGATGTCCAGAAGTATAAAATCTGTATTTTTAACCACGACAGGACAAGAGAGGCGGGCTGTAAAAATCAGCATTCCATTTACGATCGCTTCCCGCCATTTCCGTGGATCCCAGCCCGAGTCGGGCACTAAAGAATAAGGCATTCAGCTGTGAGTCCAGAAGTTCATGCCCTGTCGATTTTTAAGGTCACAGAAGCAATCAAATACGAGGAAAATATGATAGTCATCAGGAAGATGTGATTTTAAAGATTGGAGGATTGCCCAAAGATGACACACAGGACTGCAACTTGAAACCAATATGGCTTTGACCAAAATGTCATCAAAGCCATCTTGGGAACGTTTCTGTCAGAAATGTGCAAGTATTGACTTGTATGCTTGGCTCTGAAGATTATTTTAAAATGTCCAAACAAAAAAACAAAAACAAAAACAAAAAAACCCAAAAAAAGTCAATATGTATTCAGTTGGATACTTTCAGTAGTTAAAACATTCAGAATTGGAAAAAATGCCGTGAGAAGTTCCTTTCCTGCCTTTCTCATAACTACTGCCAGTAATTTAGGCAGTAGTGTATACATAAGTAACATACATAAAACATTTATTTGTATGTTAGGGAAGCAGTATAACTCCTGATAAGACTAAAATAGTTGGATAATGAAAAAAAATCACCCGTAATTCATACTTTAAAACACAACTCACCTTAGCATAATGAGTATGCTAGGAGTTCACTTAATTCTTAGCTCTTTCCCCCCATTCAAAAGTCTGTTTTGCATAGCTGAGCCCAATATTTATATAGCTATCTACACTGTGTTTTTCCAGCTGATGTAGATCTTAGGTAAATTCTTAAATTATTATTATTTTGAGTAAATACATATGGTTCATTGTAATTTTCCTCTCCTTTTGATCTTGTAGCTTTTCATTTCATTCTTTGCTATGATACTAATACTGGGGTGAATATCTTCATAAAACTATCACTTTCCACGAGTACTTTGTCTTCATTAGACCACATAACCAGCAAGGAATTCCTAAGGCAAACAGTCTGGGTATTTTTATTTTTATTTCAGACAGGGTATCACTCTGCTACCCAGGCTGGAGTGCAGTGGCGGGATCTCGGCTCGCTGCAGCCTCTGCCTTCCAGGATCAAATAATCCTTCCACCTCAGCTTCCCAAGTAGCTGGGGCTACAGATGTGTCACCTTTTTGTAGAGACAGGGTTTCGCCACGCTGCCCAGGCTGGTCTTGAACTCCTGGACTCAAGCAATCCGCCCACCTCGGCCTCCCAAATTGCTGGGATGATAGGCAGGAGCCTGGCTTGCATTTTTCATAATTCTTGATTATATTGATGGGCTAAACAGCCATCAATGCAGAAGCATGCCATGTAGAAATGACTGATGCAAAGGTATAATAATTTCCAACCTATTGACTTAAATAATTAACACCTCCCTCCAATTAATGTGGCTTACATGTGTTTGATTACTCCTAAAGTTGGTTCTGACTGCTTTCTAAATCTACAATTGTGATTGTATCAATTGAGAAAAGTGAAAAGCTAGGTATTTTCAAAAATGCCATATAAATCTCTCTACCAAAGGGTTCATCAGATTCTTCACTTTTCCTGTTTTTGAAATAAAGTTAATGCAAACATGAGCCTTTCCTCTTATTAGCACTACTAGGAGATCAAAGGCTATTTGGTCTCACGGGCAAAGCATTATGAACTAAAAACTCAAGGAATTTAGAGTTTGGAGGATTTTAGGAAACCCTCATCTGTCCTATCTTGGAAATTAAGACACTGAGGAGCATAGTGATCCAGAAACTTGTCCAGATGGTGCTGGAAGTGAAGAAAGTCCTGCAGTTACTCTAAAGAAACATGCTTTTTAATTGTATTTATTTTATTTATTTATTTATTTATGTTGGGACAGGATCTCACTCTGTCACCCAGACTGAAGTGGAACCTCACAGTTCACTGCAGCCTCAACATCCCTGGCTCAAGCGATCCTCCCACCTCAGCCTCCCAAGTAACTGGGACCACAAGCAAGTGCCACCAGGCCCAGCTGGTTTTTATTTTTATTTTTGTACAAAAGGGGTCTTGCTACGTTGACCAGGCTGGTCTCAAACTCCTGAGCTCAAGCCATCCTCTCCCCTCAGCCTCCCAAAGTGCTGGGATAACAGCCATGAGCCACAATATCCAGCTGGTAACTTTAAAAATAATAATTCCAGAGGTCAAGGTGGGTGGACCACTTGAGGTCAGGAAGTTCAAGACTGGCCTGGCCAACATGGTGAAAGTCCATCTCTACTAAAAATACAAAAATTAGCCAGGCACAGTGGTGGGCACCTGTAATCCCAGCAGCTCGGGAGGCTGAGGCAGGAGAATCGTTTTGAATCCAGGAGGTGGATGTTGTGGTGAGCCAAGATTGTGCCACTGCACTCCTGCCTAGGAGACAGAGTGAGAGTCCCTGAAAATAAAAAAAAAAATTCCATGAAGGTTTTGAGAACTTCAGTTTCAGTCAGTGTGGTGCCATTCTGAAGACCACTGACGATACAGAACAAATTACAAAGCTGTCTTGATGACTGAGATGGCTATTAGGGATATTCATTTGCACGTGGCCTGGTAACCCAGGGCTGGATCTGCTCTGCAGATTTTCCTGCTTCTTCCTTTTAGGCCACAGCCAAGAATTTGTGATCCTGTTTCCAGAACCAACTGCCTCAAATTCCTGTGGACTCCCCTTTGAAGTCTCCCATCGGATACTGCAGGGAGCCTCCTTCACAAAGCGACAGCACGGAATCCACCGAGTGAGCCTCCGGGGAAAGCCTCAGTCACTCCTGCAGGGCTCGGGGTGTGGCTGCCTATGCTGACCATTACTTAGGCAGCATAACCATCTGCCTAAGTGATTACTCCTGATCTTGAACTCCTGGACTCAAGCAATCCGCCCACCTCGGTCTCCCAAATTGCACATCTGGTTGGGTACGGTTGCCTATGCTGACTACCTGTCCAAGTGCACGTCTGGTTGGGTACGGTTGCCTATGCTGACTACCTGTCCAAGTGCACGTCTGGTTGGGTATGGTTGCCTATGCTGACTACCTGTCCAAGTGCACGTCTGGTTGAGGTAACATGATGCACATGTGCTTTTGCGGTTTCCTCTTTCTCTGCTTTGCCAATATCAGCTTTTTCCAGGGTAACACCAGGGCCCCAGGGAGGGTTTGGAGCTCCCACAGGGATAAGCAGAGGACCTCAGGCTGACTGACCCAGCAAGGAGGTCCTTCCTAAAAGTCATATTTGCAGGAGAGAGAGGAAGGGAGAGGGGAAAGCAAACTGTGGACACCTCCTAGTGCTGCATGCTGACCTGACCAGGAAGGAGGTCCTTTGCTGAAAGTTGTATTTGTAGGAGAGGAAGAAAGGGAGGGAGAGAGAGAGAAAGAAACAAAGAGAGGGACAGAGGGAGAGGGGAGAAAGGGAGAGAGGAAAGGAGATAGTGAGGAAGAGAGTGGGGAGACAGAGAGAAGGAGAGAGAGGAAAGGGGGGGAAGGGAGGGGGGGACAGTATGAGGGAGAGAGAGAGAGGGAGGGGGGAGAGACAGTAGAGGGAGGCGAGAGAGAGAGACAGAGAGAGTGAGAGACAGAGCAAAAGAGAGAGAGGGAGTGGGCGAGAGGGAGAGGGAGGAGGATGTAGAGAGGGAGAGAGAAGAGAGGATGAGAGAGGGAGAGAGAAGAGTGGGAGGGGAAGAGCAAGAAGAGATGGAGGGAGACAGTCAGGGAGAGAGACACTATTCCTCTGGGTAGAATCTACTTCTAAACAAATGCACCAGACATGTTTCAATATTTCCAGAAGATTTAAAGAATTAATATAAATTAGAGAAGTGACTTCTTAAAAAACATGTGGCTAAAAGCCCTGATGGTTACAAAATCTATACACCCGCATCCCTTATCCACATACTGTCTCTTCCATATCACTCTTACTAAGTTGTAGCTAGAAGTTAATAAAATTTCAAATAGTCAAATACAGTCAGAATGGCAAAAGAAACAAAAGTGTCGAGACTTCTAAAGTAGTTATTTTGTTCCAATCATTGTAACCAACACCTAATTGTCACACATTTAAATTAGGAGAAAAATATTGCTGACCAAGCATGGTGGCTCACATCTGTCATCCCAGCACTTTGAGAGGCCAAGGCAGGAGGATTGCTTGAGCCCACGAGTTTGAGACCAGCCCAGGCAAACACAGCAAGACCACTTCTCTATAAAAAGTTTAAAAAATCAGCCAGTGGTCCCAGGTATTCAGGAGACTGAGATGGGGGAAGTCTTAAGCCCAGGAGTTGGAGGCTGCAATGAGCTATGATCGTGCCACTGCACTCCAGCCTGGGTGACAGAGCAAATGGAACAAAAGTTGACTTAAAAGACATGAAGATGGATTCATCTGATCTTTTGGGCATTTTCTGTTACCAGAGTGACTTCTAGCAACCCGGACATGCATCTGAGATATGAACTCTGACCATTCATTTCTTGGTTCAGTGCATTAGACTGTCCGCCCTGGGGGCGCCATTATTACCTTCTGAGTAGTGGGACAGGGTCAACAGGCTGACACAGGAGGCCCCGGCCCCCGAGCCAAAGATGGTCACTCGCTTGGGGTCCCCGCCAAAGGCTCCCACATTCTCCTCGATCCACCTCAGTGCTTGAATCTGATCCAGGAGCCCATAGTTGCCTTTTGCTGCCTGGTCACCGGTACTTAAAAACCCTACAAAAGAACACAAGACATTTTTGGTGGTCAAATATAAAAAGTGCATACACATCTCTGCTATTTGAAAAGATATCTCATAGTTTGTCTTCTTCATTCTCTCTCTCCTCAATCCTCACCCCCATAAATTAGAGGAAGAAGAGGAGAAAAAATGTTGTGGCAGAAATAATTTTATAAATAGTGGTTACTGTTTAGGTTGATGTTATGATACCATGGCATCTTTGGGTATACATGTGGCTAATATAGAAGGCAAAATGAATCTAAAATATTAATAACATGAAGCGATCCCAGAAGACGTCGTAAATTTTACTAGGTTCAAGGCATCATTTCTGTGCACATTTTCATTTTCTTTTTTGAAAAATGCAACAGACTCCTACAAGAAAGTTTTCAGGGAAAACAGTACGTGTGTGTGGGGTGGGGGGGGGGGCAGTGGGTGTAAGTGAACATGTGTGTCTGTCTAAGAATATGTCCTTGTATATAAAGGCAGTGTGCGCCTGTTTTTCTCACTGAATTAGTTATTAACATTTTGTTTTAACTCCTTTTAACGCTTAAGAAACAAAGTAAGTTACAGACTCCACTAGATCCCACTCACAAATAGTATGCCCCTCTATTTTCCTACATAGCAAAAATATGAGTTACATACAAAAAAAATGTAATTATTGAACCTCACCCAAAAGCTAATGAATATTCACATCTCCCCAACTGTTCCCAAAATATCAGTAGCTGGCCCTCCTTATTTTAAAAGGAAGGATTCTGTGAGTTGAGGATCTAGATTTTACTCAAGGCATACAATTCTTAATTTCTCCTTAGTAGTTGAAAAATGGCAATTTTGGTATTAATGATAGCAAAGTTACGAGTTAATCTGTTTTATTGTTTGTTCCTTTCGCATTGAAAAAACAGCTTGACTTGGAAAAACTGTTTTCCTCTGATGTTTTGGAGTCATGTTTCGGAAGACATACACTCTCCTACTCAGATTCAAAACTAGGAATATTTTCTAAAGCATCCTGCAAGTTTAATTCATTGCATAAACTTTAACCCAACTTTATGTGCAAATCTGTACTAGATATGCCTTCCAAAAAGACAAAGAATTTTAAAAAGTTTTTTTTTTAACCATTTCGCGTCCTTATTTGAGCCTTCCCCAAATACCCAACTATGACATCTGCCCCCTCTATACAATTTCTTTTTTCCAAGAGCTATGCCATTCACTCATTTCAAGGGATGCTTAGTACACAATTATGGCCACCTGCAGTCATGTTTGCATGAAGACAGGCTGCTTTAAGACCTAAAATAACATCAAATCAATTCCTCCAAAGCACATCCCTAACCAAAGTTGATGGCATTCCAAGGAGTGACTGAGTGCTGGTTTCTACTTTTAAAACAAAAAGTAGAGGATGAGGCTGCATACCAATTGAGTCAACCACCTTTTCTTCCATGAGCTTTCCTGAGCACCGGTGGAAAAATGCTCTGAGCTGGAAAGGAGGAAATGGCCTGGCTCCAAAGAAAGTCACAGGACGATTTTCGTTCAAGAATGACAATAAAAATTCCAAGCCTGAATCAGGAGTCACTATCTCCTGCAGCTTCAAAGAGAGGCAGCGTTGCAACTGCGAGGTTGGATACTTAAGACACATCCTACCAATGCGATCTTCTTTAAAGTTCAGAGGGATGTGACGTGAGATTAGCTACGATTAATGGGTACGTTCAGACATTACCCAAGTCTCCTCCCTATTTAATTAGCAATTACTAATTAGTGCTTCATGCCAAAAATGTTCTGTGACACCTATCTCCATCCCTACATCTTTGACACGGTCGTCCATAAAAAGCATCAGGCTTTGCTTGGGAGAAAAGATCCTTTCATGCAGGGTACATACGACAATGACGAATCATGTCAGTTTGGGTGCCCCATAATACTATAGGGCAATGCTTTCTTCCTCTATCAAAGAAAGAGGTGATTAATTCCTAAGGCACAAGCAATTTTCTAACAGAACAATTCTGTCTTCAGCACGTCTTTTCTTCACTCACTGTTCTCTCTTTCTCAATTCTGCAGAATGACCTGTTGGCTTATTTTGTTTCTGTGGAGGAGCATGAAGATTTTCTACACACAGTAAATCACTGGCCTTTCTTCCACCACCACCTCTTCCTCCCTAGCAAAACGAGAGTGTTTTAACCTTTCCCAAAGCAGGCTAAGGAATATTCCCTGCCTTCAAAAATCTTAGTTCTTCTAACAGCATCCTATTGGAGGGTTTGATCTTTGACGTTCTGAAATTCTTCCAAATATCCTATAGGCTGGCTGAGGGAAATGACAATCCATGGATCTCTTCAGTTTAACAAATGAATGTGCTGTTTTGAAGCTGGTGTTTCCACAGTTTCTGCCATGGAATTTTCATTTATTACAACATCCAGAGATTATTATTATTTTTCTTTTTAAACTATCAACAAGGGGGAGTGCCTGTTTCAGGTACACAATGAATGCAACAATTTTATGCTCTTTACAAGAGGTCCTTTCATCTTGAAACCACCTTTGCAAAACGTGTAACAGTCAGACAATTATGACAGTGAAAGAGATTGGACCTAACCAACTCCATCTTGCCTTTAACTTCCATACTGCTCTGGGCATGGGCCAAGCTAACTTTGGGAGAAACTGAACTTGTAGTTTAAATGATAATAGCCCCTCTTAAAATTAAACCGCCTTTGTAAAACTAATAAAAGGCCACCAGGTTAAAATATGAGAGGGGCCTGAATTCTGCTAAGATGTAGGCTTAGTTGAATGATTACCAGTCATTATTCCAGAGGTCACAAGATTTGCAACTTCCCCAATCACTAGAAGCTAAAATTTGCCTTTTTAAAACTTTTATTTTACGTTCAGGGGTATACCTGTAGGTTTATTATGTAGGTAAATTGCATGTCACAGAGGTTTGAGGTACAGGTTATTTCATTACCCAGGTAATAAGCATAGTACAGATTGGCCTTTTAAGATGTCTTTTCAGGCTTTTGCATTTCTGACAACTGATTGGTCCTACTGGGACCAGCGACTCCTCTGTGTCTCCACATAGAGGCCAACTGGGTGCACTAGGACTGTTTTCCACACCCCTATCGTTGCAATCCTAAACCAATCAGCAGCACTCATTCCCTAGCCCCTGTCTGCCAAATTATTCAGGAAAAACCCGAGCACCATGTGAATTAATCCATGTTAATGGCTACATTGATGCCAAGTTTCATCCAGGGCCCTGGAAGGAACAACAATAACAAAAATACACACACAAGAGGTATCAATAGATATGTTCAGTGATCTGGTTTGGCTGTGTCCCCACCAAAATCTCATCTTGAACTGTAGCTCCCATAATCCTCATGTGTCATGGGAAGGACTCAGTAGGAGGTAACTGAATCATGGGGCTGGGTTTTTCTCATGCTGTTCTCATGATAGTGAATAACTGTCATGAGATCTGATGGTTTTAAAAATGGCAGTTCCCCTGAACACATTCTCTTGCCTGCCACCATGTAAGATGTGACCTTGCATCTACTTTGTCTTCCACCATGATTGTGAGGCCTCCCCAGCCATGTGGAACTAGGAGTCTGTTAAACTTCTTTCTTTATACATGACCCAGTCTCAGGTATGTCTTTTTTAGCAGCATGAGAACAGACTAGTACATTCAGTTAGTATGGTTATTTAAAAACAGGTTTCATGGAAAAGAGGACTAAAACCAGGAATCACAGTTTTTCCTGCTGCATGTTGACTGAAGTGAATATCATATAAACGTGAGTATTTCTATTCAGGCTTAATATTGTTGTTACAACAGAAAAGTTTCCAATTTTTATTATAGATAATAATGTAGATGTTTCCTCTCATTTTGAATTATATCACAGGGCTTAGGAGAATAACTGCAGGTCTTTTGTTTCTCCATGCACTGCAAGTCAATGGTAAGGAACCCAATGGGGTCAGATATTGTTTTTCTTTCAATTAACAAAAGACATTGTTATATGACGTTAAAGCCACAATCCATTTTCTTTTAGGAGATTGTTCCTTGCATAAACACAGTAAGCATTTATTTGGAGACAAGTAACCAGAAGATAATTAAGTGAATAAAGAAGTTAAATATCTTTCACCATTTCAGTGTGTGTAATTCACCTGGTATGTGTATATACATGCATATATAACCATATATATGTATGTGTGTTTATAAATGTATATGTACACAGACATACACCTGTGTACCTTTAAACTAAAGAAGTGATATCAAACAAGAAATGTTTAAATAAAAATAATTCAATGAGAAGAAACAGAATTTGTGTTAGGTCATGCAAATGAGGTCAAAAAGAAATCGGGTGAGAATGAAAGCAGAAGCATAAAAAACAAAAATCAGTCAAATAGATGCAAAACTAATCTTTAACGGTTATAGGAAATCATTCAGGAGTTCATTTATTACAAGGTGAACCTTTAATTTTCTGATTGAAAACATGTAGGATTTAACACAGAAGCACACATTGCACAGGATGGGCTGGAAGGGAGGGAAGCTGATGTACTGCATTCAAATTCTGTTGTCTGATAGGTGCGGCTGCTTGAAATTCAGTGCCTTTTATTTTTAGTTTTTACTTAAAAATGGAATGAGTTGTATACAATCTCCAATTGTATCATGTTATCACATCAGTATTGCACAGAACCAAAGTCTATTTCCAATGTCAATAGAGAAAATCTAAAACAATTATAACAGACACATGATTTTTATATCACAGGTTTCCAAACTCTGGGGCCCATGAACTACTATTGAGATTCCTTGTACTATTTTCATAAAATAGATAATATCCCCACACATTTATCTGGAATGAAGCTGCATAGGTATTTTTTAAGTGCTTTAGTTTAAATTACATGAAATAAAACAAAAACTGAAATTGATCATATTTTAGGAACAAAATATAAAATAATAAATACAGCTTGTTTATTAAACAATAAAACATCAAAATTTGAAGATAATTGATAAATGAGTTTCATGGAAATGAAAATTTGG